AGTCGCCAATGGGACCGAAGAGAGATTTACATCTTCAATGAAAAATACTTTAGAGTACTTAGCAAATAATCTTCCTGATAAGCTCTTAGATAATCTATTACTGATTTTGACAAAATGCGAAGAACATAATGCCACCCTCAATCCAGATACTTTTTTTGCTAAGCCAAAGGTATACATTCTTAAGTTGCTTTTGTGCGATCATAATATGAATTATAATTCTTCTCTTTTTTTCTAGGAAGTATTTTATATGAATAATAGCGCATTTTGTTCTGATCCTAAAACTTGGGAAAAAAATCCTAGAAAATTGAAGATGTAAATCTCTCTTCGGTCCCATTGGCGACTACTGCAATGCCAGACAATTGCTGAGCATCAAGGGCGATTTTAATTATTTTTGTAATGTTTTCTTTATCTCGTTTAGCACCATCAACATCACTTAGCCCAGGAGTGTCAATAAAAAGAAATTTATTGGATTGATCTTTTGGATCTGTGAAACTATAACCTTTGCATTCTCTTGTTTTGCTTTTTCTTAAATCATATATATTTTGTTCAGAATGCGTGACTTCTAAAAATTAAAAACAATTTATTATATTATGCTGGAAAAAAAATAAGTATAGGTAGCATAGCAAATATGCGCACCACTTTCAGTGACATTTAAATACTTTGTCGGTATGGCAATTTTAAGGTTTCGTGGATTTCCCCCTTTAAAATGATTGGTCAACCGATTTATAAATGTAGACTTTCCCGCCCCCGTCATACCCAATAATAAAATTTTGGATTTTTTCTCTGGTGAATGTTCCATTTTTAGGCAGAAAACATCTTCACATTATAAAAACAAGATTTTGAATTAGTTTTTTTTTAATAATTTAGGTTTTATATTTTTAACTAGCACATTCTTTACTTCCAATTGGTAAAATAGCAAAGAAATCTTCTAACATTAAATACTTACACCCAAAATTTCAAAAATTTATAAGGCAAATTTTGTTAAAAGACACGCACAAATGTTCGTACGAAAGTATAATAAACAATATTAGATTAGGGCCCCAAACATCACCAACATAAAAAAATGTTTCCATTAGTTCTATATTTGATTAGATTTTATTTTAATTTTATGTTACACCTGATCTTGAAATTTAATTTGACCAAATAGTGTATCAGCAGGCTGATTACAATATACAGGATTTTTTTCATTCTTTGACCAAGTCTTACATATTCGAAATGACTTGCTAAATCGCTCTAATTAATGCCAAATTAGATGAAAACCCGTTAAAGATTTCTGTTTTCATTACGTATGCACATCGTAAGGAAGATTCGGGTCGAATATGCCGTATCTGTTGTTTATGAAGAGTAGATAAGGCATATTGAGCATATAGAATCTATATTAAACTGCACAAATTACTTTATAGGGCTCACTAAAGTAAATTCAATATATTGATCTACTGCATAAATTACACGTATTCCTAACAATATAAATATTCTTATATAGATGTACTGTACCAAAAAGGTAACCTTCAACACATCAAATCGTAACCTTAGCTTAGCCCACTTAGTTCTACCGATAATGCTTAAGAAAGTGCAAATTTATGTGAGTGGTTAGGATAGAGTAGGGCGTCCAATATTAAGCGATACCATTCTAAGAGATAATGTATTAATAAAACAAGCCATATAATAACAGTAAGCAGAAGTTATGTAGAATTTAAAAAGAGAGTGCACTTATCTGAAGCAAAAATCACCAAAGCAAGCCCAAATTACCCTAATTCTCGGATCACATCTAGCCTCGACCGAAGCATACCATAGTTTATTGATATTAATGTAACACCACCATTTACGGTTTAGGTTTTTCGTATCCCAGAACTCTTCGCAACTTTTTCAACGACAATTAAAACCGGTTAACATTAGAAAGCCACAGTACTAAAGCTATTTCCTGAAAAGAAGGAAACAAGCATACAGTAGAGCGTGTGAAAAAAAATTATCCGGTTAGGTTTTATTAATTGGAATTATTTTGACGGTACTCCGATAATATAGCACTATAAGCACAAATAAGTAAATTTCATAATCATTTATTAGTCGGAATTATTTTGATGTTACTCCGATAATAGAATCTGTAGATATTTCTAGCACTATAAGCATAGATATGTAAATTTCTTAAGTGTTTAGTAGTTCACTTTTTTGTTCAACTACAATGAATTATCATCTCTGAACATTGTCTTTAGTCATGTACAATGTAAAATAATGTATCGCTACGTAATGACATTCTGTTCTCCTATTCTGGTCGTATCACACCTATATTTATTTGCCTTAAATATAAACTTGCCATTGATATAGAATTTAAAAATACTGCCAAACCTCCTTAAGTGCAACTCGTACAGACCACATAAAATCTTGCATTTGGGGAGGTAAAAATTTATAAGTATACGCATGTATAGTAGAGCCATAACAAGACCGTGCATTTATGGGGGTATTGCATTTAAAGAGTGTTGACTCTATATATACAGAAAAGATTATCATGCCATACGTTTTACTATATAAAGTGACATGCTAAAGTTTTACGTTAACTTTAACACATCATTGATTGCACACGTAATATTGGACCAACAATAAATCATATTAAATCAATTTGTTTACGATTGCAAATGTTTCTGTAAACTAATCTCTGTGGACATTTGTATCGTGGTTGTTCTATTACGCAATTTTATGAAGTATGTAAAAAAATTTGTCTTTATGTTGTGTTAAATAAATTTCATATCCTCGAACATATGGTAGTCGCAAATATTTTTTTAAGAAAATCATTTGGTTAACTTTTTGCGAGTTAGTGTTGGAAACATTTCGTTTTCATGAAAACCAATACTCAATTTTTAGAATACGAAAATAGCAAAGGCTCCTTAAAAACATCAAAAATCTTTAAATTTCCAGTATAAATAGAAATTGAATAGTATTATATTATGATATTACACTACACATTTAATTTCGAGTTACATCTTCATGTGTCACGTGATATGATACAGATTGAACATTTTAATTACTACGGAAATTTGTAAAATGGTCACCTTCACAAATTTATGGACTAATGATAATTGTCTTGTTATCTTGAATTTTCTTTAGGCAATTAAGTTTCCATAAATGGATAAGGAGATTGATGAATTTGGTTCAAAAAGAAATTTTAATTATGGTGAATGCATCGTATGTAAACGATTCAACTCTTCAGAAGCATGGTGTCAGTCATGCGATCCAGAGTTGGAGATTAAAGGATGGACAGGTGAAAACAATGACATTGACAAATGTATTAAAGAATTTCAACTTGCAGCTACAGAGTATAAGGATGTAATTGAATGGATTCCATATGATAATCTAATAAAAGTTGAAACAATTTGCGAAGACGATGATGAATCAAAAGCGTTGATTATTGCATGTTGGAAGAAAGGAATGCGAAAAGTCACGCATAGTAAAGTTAAGGGATATACAAGGACACGTGCTTTAAAGTGCAAAGTCAATCTTAAAAAGTTACCTGGTGCTGAAACAAATGCTTTGGAATTTATAAAAGAAGTAAGTATACAAATAATTTTGCATAATAATATGCATAACATGCATTAGGGATTACGTAACATTACGACTATAGTAAATTTCTATAAAAAATTTTTAATGGGGACTTAATATATATTTTAAAATAATTCTTACCATATTCGCGAGACAAAATCTCGAACGATATGAGAAATATACGTTAAATTATCTCGCCTCAATGTGTTACGAAGTGAAAACCGGAGTTTGGCCTGAAATTTAACATTGTACCTAATGTTGCAATTTGACCACTGAACTTATAGATTCCAATTAGAACGTATAAGACCAAATTTAATTTAAATTACTGGACTTATAAAGGCGCCCAATACTGGTTATACCAGATTAAGAATCGTTTAAAGCAACGCTACCTGTCTTTATACGATTCCGAATTCGGTCAAAAAAAATCGTGATAAATTCAACACAAGGCACTGGTTTTAGTGATATCAAAATTGTGAGAAATGGTGCAGAAATATTCGCTGCCATATGTACCGTATAGTTCGAAATTAAGCATCGCCAAATTTTGGAAAATAAGCATCCCGAAGTATAATCATATCCGGTTTTTTGCTAAGTAAGCTTACATTCTGCTTCTAAGTAACGTTATTCTCCAAGTTAAGACGATTCCAATGATGATGAAATCATCGAAATCGGACCAATAGAACTTCGCAAATGTTCTTTAAAATTCGGGCGTTTGCTTACATGCTCTATAGATCATATAAGCAAATGTAAACCAAATGTCGTTCGAACTTTGAAGAACAATTGCGTAAGTTCTACTGGACCAATTTTGATGATGTTGCTACAGTTAGAATCGTTTTGAGCTGAAGAAAATTTTGCTTAGAAAAGAGGGTAGGTTTACGTAGTACGTACAAAAATCCTATATGGGGTCTTTCCTAGGGAAATCCCACACCGCCATTTTCCGATCGGGCTAATCCGGAACATTTTAAACAAACATACCGGTTCGTAAACCATATTTTACCTTATTGATTCAATAGCTTATCGATTGAACGTTTGAATCAATAAAAGCAAAAATGATTTACATGCAAATAGGTACGTACGTACGTACTTTGATAATTGCACAAAATTTCCAGGTGATTTACTCTGCTTTTTTGCCGGCAATTTCTTTTTGAATCGGGATTTTACCAATAAAATTTATCTAAGTAATATAAAATTTCCGACTGATGAAAAGTCGAGGCGGAAATTGTCTTACGTAAACGGAAATCTCCGACATTTTCCAATAAGTTTTGTGCACTGATGCTGATATATTGGTTTGGATTTGTCCGAATTAGTCTGATCGGAAAATGTCGAAGGGTGATTTTCATAGCAAAGATCCCATATTATTAACTCTTAAAATTATATCCGAAAATAAGCACCTTTTATAATCAAAAAAAGTGCTTAATTTCGGAACTATACGGTATTTTAAGAATCTTAAATTATAGAGCAACATTTTATGATCATGGATTTTGTTTGTTATTTTTTGTACGTTATTATGTAAGTACAACAATCCTGAATTAAAACTCAGTTAGCCAACCACGACTTGTAAATCAGATCATAATAATTGCACGATAACATCGATATTGGATCATAAATATCGCAAATTTGTTCTGTCGGAGTAAACGATTGACCTAAACGTGCCGCTACGCGGCACATGTCAGCCAATCACTTATTCCGACAAAGCAAATTTCATGATATTAATCGGTTGCATGACCAATATTTTATACATAATGAAACTTCATCGACTGTTGCTCACAATCATAGTGTATAACTCACAACCTAACATTAGTGATAAAAACGGCTTGATCGGCTCGTAACTAGAGCCGATCAGCCGATTTGTATCTCTACATAATATTATTACAGCTATTTTCATAATTCCTGGAACACATGATAAAATTGACCCGAATGGTTTTTCGGTCAATCTGGTTAAGTTATTGATTTCAGCATGATCGGTATGTATGTAAATTACGTTTCATACATAGGTTACATCGTAATTTGATATATATATATATGTTTTCGCACAAACTAAACACACTAAACGTGTTGTGCAAGTATTCAATGAAAATTTAATAATATTGAACTTGTCGACCTTTACAATGTTAAAATTATTTGTAAAACAAAGTTTATTTGTCTTTATATTAGAAATTTGCGTAATTTTTGATATGTA